CAAAGTGAGTCAGTTGAGGGAGGGTCAAACGTGGGGCCGCCTTGTTGACTGCCTTGACATCCAGGAAAGGTGCGACCTTTCGACTGGCCAGCAAGTAATCAATTTCTGCTCCATTGATCATAGTAGGCTGCCCACTGCAAGCCAGTTCAGCTTTCAGAACATTCAACAGATTGCGGCCTTCCCATCGCTCAGGCGGAACTTGGAAATCTCCAACCACAAGCCACGGCACAGCCAACTCTTGAAGGAAAGCTGCAAGGGCTCCAAGGACTGTCGAGTTGGCAGGGGAGTTTAAATCTTCTCCACATTTAAGGTAGATTGAGACCAGGACAATCTCCCAGCTGCAGGACATTTGCCAGGAAACCATTACCATCAAGGTCATATTGGTGGAGACGATATGCCGCTTGCCCTTCTCTACAGCAGAAAATCTGGCCTCCACTGGTGCCCCCTCGTCCGGTCTCATGCACTGAGACCCCTGCCATCGGCTTCTGGACAGAGCATTTTTGGCCTGCTCCTGTTTGATGCCCCGGAGGTGCGCCTCCACCAGCATGACTGTCTGAAGATCCTGTTGCAGCAGCCATTCTTTGGCCTGATTGTTCCACTGGGCGACGTTGCTATACATGATCTCAACTCCTTCACCAGCAAGTTTGGGCCTCTTTTTGGGTGGTTCAAAGCTCCCAATGGTTCGGGTTCCGCTTTTGAGGCCCAAATCATCACAGCACCTCGCTGGAAGAGTTCAGGCACTTCAGCCTGTGCTTGCGGACACTGCCCATCATCAACTGTCCAGATTGCATCACCTTCAACCAACATAGTGACATAGTGTCCCGACATCATATCTTCACCTTGATGTGCAATGACTCCTCGAAGGACAAAAGTTGCATGCCCTCCATGACTAGTGGAGGTTCTCTGCGCGCATTTGAAGGTGGAGGGGGTTCCAATGTGGAAAACAATGCGCTGAACGGCCATTAGCTTCATTGGCCCACTCACTCAACAATTGCTCAAAACTGACACCATCTCCATCTGCTTCAAGCATGCGTATACAAAAAAGTGGCAGGGTGTCAAAATCATGGACTCTTCCACCAAAATGGGAGTGCCGGCTACCTTGAAGCCCGGTCTGGCCCCGCAATTCCCAAAGCAGCACCAGAAATTCGGAAGCATCGTGTTGGGCTTGAGGGTGTTCCAGTCTAGCAATGACCGGTTGCAACTCCGAGGCCTAAAAGATGTCAGGGATGTCCTCTTGTTGCAGGTTTGTCATGGTGTGCTCCCATCCAACACCCATCTGGAGGACTGTATCGGCATAGCACCGATTGCCCTGATGTTGAGCGTGAGATTGGCTGCAAGCAGTTCATTTGCCTGAGGCACATCCAACTCCTGAGTGACCGGCCTGGTCAGTTGAATGCTTCCCTGCAGCGCTAGCCTCATTCGTAGGATGTGCAAACCCCACACTCTCGTTTCAACCATTCCGTAATCACTATCCTCTCTGCGTTGTATTGGCAAGGCCCGAATGGCCTCTAGTGCGTTGGCTTGCAAGGTGATCAGCCTGTCTTGAAGCAGGGCTGGCGTGGTCACTTCCACTTCTCGCTCATCATCCTCTAGGATGTAGTAATCATCTTGCGCGTCCTTGCCCCCACCCAAGAGAGCAATTTGAGGCCCAACATGAATCAGGTCGGGCTCGTTGTTCTGGGCCATTTGGATGTGATTAGAGGTCCTGCTGACAGCAGGTCTGAGTTTCCCCAGCCGCTCTGAGATCCGCAAGGGCAGTGCCTCGTTCACATCCAAGCCCTCTGCTTGATCTTCTCCTTCACCAGTCTGCTGTCCACCCAGCGCTGTTCTATCCTCCTTTGTCTTTGTATTGGAGGTGGCAACACCAGTGGGGTTGGCAGACCATCTCCCCATTTGTCCATGACCTCCCCTTTCTGTCCTTCCACTCTGCCCCTCTAGGGCAAAACTTGCAGCGCCCGGATTCGACATCGCCCGAGGCTCTAAAGCATGTGAAAAACCAACATCAACACCCAAGTCAATGTCATAAGTTCCTGAATCGTGCACTGACAAAATGGTGTGTCATGGCACTCATCGACATTCACATACGGCTGCAATCCTTGATGGCAAAACTGCACAAATTCATCCACAACGTTGCATTCAACATCTGTCCAAAGCTCTGCGCGCTCATCTGCACCCTGCATACCCCAAGCTGTGTGAGATGGTGCACCCTGATGCCAAACACTCAAACAGTCCCGGACCTTTGAGTTCTCCCCTGGGCCTTCTCTACCAAGCCCTGCCATCCAAACCTCGTTCCTCCAGGACCCCGTCACTGCAGGAACCACCCCATTTCCATCTTCTTTTCCAACACAAGGAGTCCGGCTGACGTTACCCACTCAACTGGGCTTCACCATCAGTCTTGCGTCGCTTGGCCAGAGTTTCAGCCAAATTGCGCTCCAGTTCCTTTTGCTGGTCAGAATTGAAAATGATACCAGCCTGTCCCAAAGCCTTCAAAACATGCTCTGTGGCATCTGTCTGCTTCTTCTTTCAACTGCTTGGCATAGGCCTCGGACTGATCTCCAAGCTGCTTGTGCTCCTTGTCAATGGCTTCTTCCGCCCCTTTGAGTTCCTCCAAAAGCAGCTTGTACTGGTCCTTGGCCACGTCCACTTTCCCCTGCAGGGATTGCTTCTTTGTTGCCAACTGTCTCAACTCACCCACCGTGGCCAGCTGCCCAGTGACATCGATGGTGGCTGAAGGCGCTGGCTTGATCAAGCCCACTACAGCCTCCTTCACTTTTTTGGGAAGTGAGTCCAGGTGTGCCTTCAGGATCTCGTCCAAAGGTGGACATTCCGGCTCCGGTGTGAAATCTATCCCAACACCTTTCAATGCTGCCTGAGCTTCTGGAGGCATACTCCCCCACGCCTTCCTCAGGGTACTCTCAATTGCGTTGCCCATGTGCTTGGTCTTGGGGCCTAAGCCAGTCGGCGGTTCAACCTGTGTTCGATCTCTGCCAGTCTCCGGGTGGGGGATGGACTCGTCCACTTTGCTTCAGAGGCTGGCCAAGAGGTACCACACTTGTTGCATCCCCATCTGGCGGAATTGACTCTGTCAGCCCAGATCCATGAGGAGCTGCATCCTTTGCAGGCAACATAGGTCCTGCGGTTTGGAACCTTCTGATAGTCCAAAGGACCAAAGACTGTCAGCGTCTCGTCCGTCTCTGTTACGAGAAAGGGCAAAGGCGCCGTACAGGTATAGGATATACCAAAGGCGCCGTCCGTCACAAAGTCCAACGCCCTGGTACTCGTCAATGCCCTTGAGCCAGCTTGAGCCAAATGGCTTGAGCCAAAATGACTACGGTGCTGTCTCCCCCTCTCTCTCTCTCTTTCTCTCTTTCTCTTTAATTTTCTCTTTCTCTGTCTTTCTCTCTCTCTCTGAGGACAAGGCCTGGACACAGAGCCCAGCCACAGAGCAGGAGGACAAGGCCCAGCCACACAGCCCAGCCACAGAGTTCAGAGGCGCGGCCAAGAGAAGGACAACAGGAGGGCAAGGCCTGGACACAGAGCCCGGCGGGGCCAAGAGGAGCACAAGGCCTGGACACAGAGCCCAGCCACAGAGTTGACAGAGTTCAGGGGCGCGGCCAAACCACAGAGTTGACAGAGTTCAGGAGGACAAGTGGTGAGGGAAACACGACAACCGTGAAACGAAAACAAGTCAGATCCAACCTCCTTCATCCTATGTCAACAGCACAGCCACAATCTGCACATGATGCGTCACAAAAAAGTAAGTAAAGGTTCATACAATACAATAAGGTAGTTTGGATGTGCTTTCTGGCAGGTCAGCGCGGCCAGGACAAGACGAGACAAGGCCTGGACACAGAGCCCAGCCACAGAGCCCAGCCACAGAGTTGACAGCGTTCAGCGCCACGGCCAAGAGGAGGACAAGGAGGACAAGGCCTGGACACAGAGCCCAGCCACAGAGCCCAGCCACAGAGTTGACAGAGTTCAGGGGCGCGGCCCAGAGGAGGACAAGAGGAGGACAAGGCCCAGCCACAGAGTTGACAGAGTTCAGGGGCGCGGCCAAGAGGAGGACAAGAGGAGGACAAGGCCTAGCCACGGAGTT